CAGGGTACGTACTATGCGCTCTCGCCGCCTGGCCCCGCTACGACCGCCCACCTCGGGATGTGGTGCGTGGCTGGCATAACGTGTGAAATCAGCTAGGTTGATTGCCGTATCAACCGATAGAACGACTGACATCTCCAGAAAACTTGTTTGTACGTGCCTCTTCCCCAAGCCAGCCTCCTTCACTGCTAGTGGGAAAGAGGGTTTTGTTAACGGCCTTGTCGACGGTTTTTCTCAGTTTTTTCTCCACTGTCGTTCCACTTCGCATCTCTATACTCAGTTTCAATCGCCATAATACCCCCTTATTGAGCCCGACTTTTGCCTTTAAGTCACTAAGATTTCCCTAGGAGGTCAAGGCAAGGCGCCTCCTATGGAAATATTAGTGAAGAATACGATCTTCCTGGGGTTGAGTAAATGCAACTCCGATGACATTCGATTGCGCCCTGTTACTGTTACACGCACTGGAACGTGTACGAGCCGTGATGGACATAAATAATACATACATATAATCATCTGACTTCGAAGATAAGGCGATAACCAGTTCCGGACACAAGTGAATCCAGCTAGCAATCGATAGAGAGCGGTGGGATCGATGGATATTCTCTGGATGAGCTTACAAGGGGCGGCAGCAGAGATGGCTATGGCGGGGCTAACTCATCGTATCGATATCGCCAGCGACGAAGCTTGTTTTGAGGTCTTTGATTCCTATCCGGACTCGTTCATAAGCCATGTTTTGCCATTAACGGCGCTTCGGTGGCAGGTTTCAGAGGATATGAGGGCCATCGATGAGATGTGATTCCAATTACTACATCATAACTCCGAGTCTGTTGTTCTCTGAATGGATGCATGGCGCATCACGAGAAGTTTGCTACCGACATAATTATCCACTAGGGCTTCTCGTCCCATATTCGTTGGATCACGTGTGTTGGAGAACGTCAAAGATCACAACAAAAACGAAGTAGCCATCTGCGCCCCTTATTTGAGGGCCGATAATTAAGGGAGGGGGCCAGTTTTGAAATGAGAAATTTTTGAAATGAGAAAAAAAAATTTTCGTGCAAACGTGAAAAAGTGCTAAAATGGGAGAAAAAGTGGAGGAGTTCTGGGGGCGGAGTTGAAGTGTGTCACGTGGTCATGCATTCGATGACGCTATGATAACCATCGACTGTTGAAGGGGATTATATGATAACCATCGACTGTTGAAGGGGATTAGAGGGCGAGAGGATCAATGAACTTTGTACAACTGAATGTGGTCAACTACAGGAGTGATATCATATGGACGAGCCAAAACCCGAGAAAATGGTCTTAAGTTGGAACAGATCAATGGACTGTGTCAGTTCTTGTGCTATTTCTTGTTACCCTAAATCTTACGGATGCGAGCGGTGCAGTCTTTTGCAGAAGAGGCAAATAAACACACCTAAACAGCGCGAATCACTAAACAACGGGTTTTCGGAGATAAAATATTCTCTACGATTAGTTTTCTTTAGAATAGTCTAGAGCATTTATCGGCCTCAGCTTCACCGCGTGGTAAGCAGTAGCATAGACTGCTCTTATCAATAACACGCTCTCGACATAAGATTTTAGAGAGCTTGTAATTGAGTGAATCCATACTTTTACATTGACGTATTAAAAGGGCGACGTCATCGTTTGAAGAAAATAATCAAAGGAAAGGAGAATGATTGTGAAATTGCATATATGAAAGGGTAAGGGATCAAGTGGATCGGCGCCGCGGCCAGCTATAAACGAAAGCGAAACGGAAGATGAAATAAGATAAGCAATAAGAAAAGAGAAACAACAAATTAAACAACATTAAATCCCACCCACACACACGATGGATGTTTCAGTTTCAGAACTATAATCGACAAATAAATTCATATATTCACCGGATGGGCGGAAGTGGTGTAGTGGCAAGTGGCACGCTTACCACGCGAGCGGTCCGGGATCAAATCCTGGGTCGTGAGTCGCCCGGGCCAACCAAGCCTTCCATCCCTCCGGGGTCGGTTAATTGGTACCAGACTTGTCTGGGAGGATAAAAACACTGACTTGTACATCGGCTGGCCCCCGCAAGTCATTGTATAGGCCACATCGCATTCAAACGCCACTACGAATGTACAAATGGAAGTAGAATGCGTGCCGCATCCCAAAAAGGGATTGATCAACGGCAAATGCTTTATCCTTTATCTTTATTCACCGGATTCAAGTGCATGGAGCATCCAGTCCATCAAGGCTTCAGGTAACAGCTCTTAATTACTCGAAAAAAGCAGTTGTTCTTAGCGTATTGGGAAGTCGAGATAGGAGGGGAGGGGGGGCAGATGCATAGTTGTAGGACTTACCTACTCAATATATCAACATTGTGAGCGGAAGTGAACTATCATAGTTGGAAGTGGCGCCACATACCACGCGTGTGTATGGCGCAGAAGTGTAATCAAAGATCAGAGTTCCCCAAGTTCAACCAGGTTCTCCGTCCTTACGAGGATTACCCTGTGCCCGAGCTTGTCTGAGAAAATGAAACCACTTGTTTTCAATAGGTGGTCCTCCTACAGTAGTGTGTGGGCTCAATCGTATTTCTATGCCACTACAATTCGGAATTCAAGTAGAATGCACGGCGTGTACCAGAACGATTTGGGTTTCCTAGCCGTTTATCCACTAAGATTTGAGCAAGCATGCCCCTTGAGATCTTTTTAGGGCCCCATGATTTAGCTTAGTTGTATACATTTCTTCATAAGAAATAGGGCCAAAATTGAGCTTTCACAAAGAAAAGGGCAAATCCACGCACTTTCAAATGGCTACATAGGAAGTGCTTTATGCTGCCTCGTGACAACGCTTTTCGGTGACCACGGATAAGTACTCTCTCCTTAGCTATCGATCGGTTCTGATTATACTGAAGAGAAGGATTCCTTTGCGAATCAAGCCGAAGTTTTCGGACGTAGAGTTACTACGTTTATGTTGGGAACTTCCTACAAGAACACTCACTTAGTAAAGAAATTTCTAGAGAAACTAGTGAGTCAGCACGACACCACACATTGACCGGATGACAATAAATCTCACGAGGGGTTTAATGGCCCGCCTGACGTTCGGGACGAAACCTGCTCGTATGACATGGCGCCATCGCAACATGAGGTCGAGAACTCACCACGTGGGGTGATTTCCGTGAGATTGGCAGTCACGTGGTGTGGGTGCAGACTGCCCTTCGCCGCGAATGGCCACGCGGGTGGCCTCGTGCTCGAGGCAGACGCGAGTTCCTTTACCTTCCCGCTGTCTGATGAGCTTGGACATTCCTCGTGCCATTCATTGATCAAGCACTTTTGTTTGGCTGAGTGTCTCCAAGAGTACATCTATTGCGTGAGTGAGTAGGGAAAACAGCTTCCTGAACCGACAGCGGGGCCGAGAGGACCACACCCGAAGGAAAGCAACATGGAATTGAAAAAAGAGAAATGAGGGCAGTACAGCAACTGCGACTCAGTCGACTAAACACCAACTTTGAGGGGGAATATCTATTTTTATTTCTGTTTATT